CAATAAATGCCTAGAACCTAATTTATAATTTCAAAATTCCTCATTTCGAAGAGCAATATCGAAAGAAGAAAGGCTTGCCGTAGGACTGCTTTCTCGGACTCAACAACAACAACTGCAGAAATAACTGCAAAACAAATATGCGATCGACAGGCTTTCACGACTTAATACAGGCCAGCGCCGCGCCGGCCGGCTCCGCGCACACTTGACCAGCCCGTCCCGGCACGGACCGTCGTTTGACGGGGAGAGTCGGAGAGCTGGAATCTGTTCCGTCGACGCACTCGCCGTTCCGTGCCGTGACGGGCTAATGTGCGGTAGTCTATTCATTTGCATGGTTTTAATCCTATCCGTATTTTGACGGGCCGGAACTGGACGGGACGTGACGGCCAAGTGGGCGACAAGCTTTACCTTGTAGTACGTGTCGGACGTGTGCGGTAAAGCTTTGTTGCCGCTATCTCCTCGGCTGTATTAACGCATTTTCTTAGCTTGTAGTCCTTAAGTGTTTATTTTATTGACTTTTTCTGTTCAAGAACTATAAAATATGGTTCGCCAGTGCCAAATTTGCAAGAAATTTGACTTAAATAATCCATTTAATGTCTTGAAACGACTTTTTCGACCGGTGAAGCAACTCTCAATTTACCCATTGGGAGTCAGTGGCGTTGTTGTAGAAAGGCGCTTATTTAGATAATATTTTAGTAAAATGTAAAATCTGAATTTTTTCTCTTATATTACATTATTTACTTACTTACATTGTAACAAAATCATAATTATAACCCTGTTAATAATTAATAATGTTTTTATTAAAAATATATTCCGGTTTATTCTAAAATTATCTTCAGAATCTAAAATAACATACAAGAATTTTAATATGATATTACATTATGAGACAATATTTTTTAATATACCGGGTCGTCTCAAAAGTGGTTCACCGCTATAACTTTTTTATTTTTTCAGATAAAAAAACAGATTTGTATGTTAGTAGGTATATGACATAAATTAGGATTTATTGACGTATTCAATTGTTTTTGGTCTCTTTCTGTTTCACCGAAATGATTACATCTTTTGATTTTTAAAGGCACCCTCGGTATATTTCTACTTTATTCGATAGAAAATGATAATAGAATTCTGAATAGAATGACATATCATATGTCAACTTTTGACATTGTCGCTTAAAAACAAATCGTATTATAAATTTCAATCCAGGGTGCCATGGTGTTGTTAAAAACACTAAGTTTTAATCAAGGAGCCTTGGAAAAATAGTTTTGATCGTCTAATGGGTTTCGTGTCTTGTCTAGGCCGATTAAAAGATGTACAAATCATATTTTTAATCATACATATGTCAATTTTTTCAAATGGAACAAGGGTGACTCGTTAGCATATTTGGAAAAAGCATTTTTTTATGAATATATTGATACCACACACTTGGTATTTCGAGTCAAATTGTCGTTATGAACCACGTGTTACAATTACAATTAAACCATATGCGAAAGTGTCAAAAGTTGACATATGATATGTCATTCTATTCAGAGTGTCATTTTCTATCAAATAAAGTAGAAATATACCGAGGGTGCCGTTTAAAAATTAAAAGTTATAGTCATTTCCGGTGAAACAGGAAGTGACCGAAAACAATTGAATGCGTCAAACAATCCTAATTTATGTCATATACTAACATACTAAATCTTGTTTTTTTATTTGAAAATATAAAAAAAATTATGGGGATGAGCCACTTTTGGGACGCACCCGGTATAATAAAGACAGTACCGAGTTAAATAAATGTAGTTTTCATTTTATCCACTTCCTATCACCTTCCTTGCTTTAATGGAACAGATTTATGTTTTCTCTAATTTACATAAGACATCACTTAACCAGAAAAATAATTACAACAATCATATTTTTTTTTCTCTCCCTGTCGCCGATTCTATTATATCTGTGGAATAGATCCTGTTTTCATTAATATTAGGGGTTGTAAATGTTTGACTAAAATTAATAATTTATTATTAATTTCAAAAATTACGTAATTTCGATTATAAAATTTCTTCTATAACGTGTATTTTATTATTTTTATCCTTTTTGGACTCTAAGACGTTTTTTCTAAACTTTTATTTAAAAAACCTGTCCTAAATCTTAATAAAATATAAAAAAGTTTAAATACGATATATTTTTAATTTAATTATAGCTTCATTAAAATAAAAAAATTACCCGGCTATGATACGGAGAGTTCAGTGTACTTGAGAAACGAAAGACAGTGTTGTGTTTCTCGGCAGAGTCGTCAGGGAACGACCGTTACGACAGAGACAACCTATCTATCGCTCGTGTCGCACTCGTTATAACCTAAAACAATAACACAACAATAACAAGACATTGTCTGACCGCATGTACCAGCTATTTATGAATGAGATGCTCAGTCTATATTTTATTTTAAGTCTATGAGATTAATTAAATCGCGAATGAATTAATTTCGGGAGACGATAATGCAATTTTATCGTCGTGTATAAAACAATATTTTTTCCATACCGAGTTACGTTTTAAAAAATATTCAGAAATTATTATCACAAGGAATTTATACATATATATATACTACGAGTAGAAAAAATATTGTGCTGGGTTGGCGTTGGTTTCTATGTAATTTGACACATAAATAAAGCTGTCTCTTTAGTTGTCAGTTTTGAGTCAATATTTTTTAATTCTCTTTCGTGCCGATTGCTGATTGAATTGAAGCCAGAAATGGCTCAAAACGAAATAAGTAAATTACCAACAGATATTCAGGCCGAGGCGACAAACGCTATATCCAAACTACTTCCATTTAGATCCCGAATAACTTATGAAAAGGAATACAAAAATTTTCAAAAATGGAAGCAATTAAACGTGCGAGATGTTAAATATCGTTTTCGAACGTGTTAAAGTATCATTTAATCTACCCCAAAGAATATACCTAGCTAGAAAAAGAATGGACCATACTGAAAAATGGTCCTACAGAAGTGGCGCCATCTATTGAGTAGGGCTTGTTTTAAATGGATCGAAGTGCGGGCTTTTTAAATGAACGTATTTATTGAATTTTACTCTAAAATAATTAAATTTGATTATTAAATCTTATTGTTTACACAAATTAAACAATACTAATAACAAGTATCGTTGTGATGTGTAAAAAATAAGATTTAACAGTATAATTTATACAATTATTAAATAAAATTAAAGCCAAACATGTGTAAATATTATTTGTTATTTAAAGTTTTTATTTATAAGTCAAATATTTAAACATCGTTTATTATAATAAAACAAGACCAATGAAATACGCCCAAAGTTTTGTAAATGGAGTAAATATAAATAAGTACTTATATGATGGCAAAAATAAAAGACTTACATTATATTTTTAGGGCCACAAAAAAAAAGAATCGTCTAATAAAAACACATATAACAAATTATAGTTTGAAAAACATTTTGATAATCATTTATTTGATAATATTATGAATGGCACTATGACAACGACAATATTTTTTAAGACTTTGACAATAATATGACAATGGCCGTTGGAAACTATGGAAATTACAAAAAAATTATGATTTAACGCCATCTGGCATAACTAGTAGCAACTTCTTAACCTAAAAATTAATTGCACTACCACCTAGTGGCTAGGGCTGGAACTATTTTATTTGAGATTTCCGTGGAAACGTTGGAACCGCTTTTGGTATTTCACTTTCCCGCCCCTGGTTCCACCGTTTCCACGGAAATTTCAAATAAAATAGTTCCAGCCTCGGGCGCTAGGTAGTAGTGCAATTAATTTTTAGGTTAAGAAGTTGCTACTAGTTATTGCCAGATGGCGTTCAATCAGATTTTTTTTGTAGTTTCCATAGTTTCCAACGGCCATTGTCATACTATTGTCAAATTGTCAAAAAATATTGTCGTTGTCATAGCGCCAATCATAATATTATCAAAAATGATTATCAAAACCTTTTTCAAACTATAATTTGTTATATGTGTTTTTATTAGACAATTCCTTTTGTTTGTGGCCCTAAAAATATAATGTAAGTCTTTTATTTTTGCCATCATTTAAGTACCTATTTATATTTACTCCATTTACAAAACTTTGGACGTATTACGTTGGTCTTGTTTTATTATAATAAATGATGTTTAAATATTTGACTTATAAATAAAAACTTTAAATAATAAATAATATTTACACATGTTTGGCTTTAATTTTATTTAATAATTGTATAAATTATACTGTTAAATCTTATTTTTTACACATCACAACGATACTTGTTATTAGTATTGTTGAATTCGTGTTAAAAATAAGATTTAATAATCAAGTTTAATTATTTTAGAGTAAAATTCAATAAATCCACTCATTTAAAAAGCCCACGCTTTGATTCATTTAAAACAAGCCCTACTCAATAGATGGCGCCACTTCTGTAGGACCATTTTTCAGTATGGCAGAGTCCATTCTTTTTCTAGCTAGGTATATTCTTTGGTTCGAATTATATTCCGGAAACTTCGGCAGCATATTCTGAGAATAAAAATAAGTAAAAAAGTTCGTATAAATGTATGTCCTAAAATGCTTAGTTTCGGATATACAGGGTGTAGAAGTTTCATTTTTATTTCGATTTTTTCCAAATAATTTCTGAAGTAACGTGAATTTTTAGATAAAAATTGGTGTCTGGGAGTTTTTTGACATGAGGAATTTCATTTTGATGTGAATATGACTTCTGCTTGTAGAGGGCGCCACCTACATATTTTTAATTGGTTTGAAGAGTAATAACTCACCCTTGAATGATAGTTCTGAATTGATTAAATTCAATTAATAGACATCGCAGCATTCGCAGCTGAATAACGGACTGTCAGTAATAATGACAGACAATAATATGAAAAATATCCTCCCTCCAAAGTTTATATGCGTCAATCATTCGTCCACGATTAAAGTTAAACAGTTGTTAAAAAAAATCAATTTGGCTTTAGGAAGGGATTCGTTTAATGGATTTCTATGAAATAATTGTTCAGTTAGTTACCTTTCTGTAAAGTTTCACCCATGTTAGGTCGCCTTTGGAATCTGTGTATTGCAGACCAAAGAACCAAACCTCTCTTAATCCGATGGTTTTGACGACCTGGTCGAAAAGTTGCTTTCCGGACGTCGACTGCTGGATCGCGAATTCCAGCTCCGCGTCCATAGTCGTCACCCTGACGTTCATCTGAAAATTAAGAGAAAATTTATTGGTAAGATGTACTAGATGAGAAATTCTCAATAAACTTATGGTCCGAAGTGCCTTTTACGAGGGTTTTCTTATTGGATTCTTGGGCATAAAATAAGGCATTTATTACAAGGGTTTTATATGTTTAAAAGCTTGGGTTTTTGAGATATTTAAATATACAGTGGTGGCCAAAAGTATGGAAACTTTTTTAATTTGTCATTTATGCTGAGAAATTAAAATATGAAATAAAACGACTTATATAATCGTGACCTACAAATAATTTCCTACAAAACCTAATACATTTAAATAAAAAATTACAGCTATCAAAAAATATATAAAAAATTATGAATATTTTCTTGGTCAAAAGTATGGAAACTTAAGAAGGTTTATTAAAATTCAAGATAATATAAAAATTGCTAATATTTAGTGGAATATCCCTTTGAATTAATTACTTCTCTACATCTTCGTATCTTCGTGGCATCGAATCGATCAATCTCGTACAATCTTTACTGGAAATGGCCGCCCATTCAGTTTTTAGCACTTCCCATAATTCATTTTTATTTGAAATAGAATGGCTTCGAATTTTGCTATCCAAATAGTCTCATAAATTTTCTATGGGGTTAAGATCCGGAGACTGTGAGGGCCAATCCAGTGGAACATTATGTTCATTTAACCAATTTTGAACAAACCGAGATTTGTGCTTGGGATCATTGTCTTGCTGGAACAACCATCTGAGTGGCATTTCTTCATCAGCATGAGGCAGCATATTATTCTCCACTATGTCTTTGTACAAAAAACGGTCCATTATCCCATCAATTTTAACAAAAGGACTAACACCTGAGCGAGAAAAACACCCCCATACCATTATACTCCCACCCCCATGTTTTACTGTGGGCATCTGGTACTTATGGCCGTGTACCTTTTGGTCTTCGAACATAACGTCTCCCGTCACTACCAAACAGTTGAAACTTGCTTTCGGCGCTAAACAGTACAGTATTCCATTTCTGATAAGACCAGGTGAGATGATCTTGAGCAAATTTAAAGCGGGCCATCCTATTTTTCTTTGATATTAGTGGTTTCTTCATCGCAACTCTTCCAAAAAGTCCCATGTCATCCAACCTTCTTCTCACCGTGCGTGCAGACACCGATATTCCCCTTTCACCCATTTGTCGAGAAATGTCTGTGGATGTTTTTCTTGGATCTCCCATTGGTATTCTCTTCATTACTTTCATTGTCCTGTTGCACAACTTTCTTGGTCTTCCTGACTTAAAAGCTGTTGAAACGTTCCCTGTTTTATTAAATTTACGAATTATTTTCGAAACGGTGCCTTTTAAAATGTTTAAATTTTTACTTATTTGAATTTGTTTATAACCGCTCTTGTATAATTCAACTATTTTATTTTTTAAATCCGTAGAGAAATATTTAGACTTGGGCATGATGTTTATATTTATCTGAAGCAAATCGTACCGTTTGTCAGCTTAAACTAAATAATTTTAATGTATTTATTTATGGTCTCCATAGTTTTGGCCACAAGAAATCTATTGTTCTCCTACAAAAACTGCTAAACAGATTTTTTTCGCTGTGTAATTTTTGGAATACTTTTATTTGCTGATAAGCTGTTCATTTATATTCCTGAGAGTTTAAGCATAGCAATATTTTCTGTGATATTTTAAAAAGTAAGAAATTTCCATACTTTTGGCCACCACTGTACATGCTATAATAAAAAAGTTCGTCAACATCTTGTACATTAGTTTTCAGAATTAATTCTTGTGCTGACTTTCAAGCCAGAGAAATAAACTGTACTAAAAAAATTAATTGCTTCCTTAAATGTATACAGGGGTATCAAAAATTGCTGGTCTATTTTAAATATTTATTTTACATAAAAACTTCGTTATTTCAAATGCAACACTATGTATTTTTTTAAATAAATCGAAGCGGATTTAAATGCTCTTTCAAACTATATTAGGGTTTCATATACCTATCTGGCTCAGATTTTGAATAAAAAGCGAATTTTCAATGAAATTGTAATCAAGATGGCTGGTGTCACCATGGTAATGTTCTAGTGACTTTTAATAGTTATTTTCAAAATCGACATTAGTTTATGGACTTTATTTAAATTTATGACAGTTTATTTTTATTTCATTTACCTACAATAAGGACAATAAGTATTTATAATTTTATCAAGAAAAATCCAATATATCTAGAAGCCATCCTAATATAAATCAAAGAACTACTTCTTTATTTTTCTTGACAAAGTAATAAATACTTACTTATTAAACTATTGTAGATTGTTGGTTTTTGTGGTTTATTTATTAAAGAAACAAATAACAATATATATATAATCATTAAACAAACTATCAACTAATCAGAACAAAAATAAGAGTGGCTTGTTACATCTTCTTGCTTAATATTACCACTGATTAATGATACAGAAAACAGTGTTGCCACGGTTAAAGACCAGACAGGTTTGTAGTTGTATATTGAGTTACATACATTAACACCCTCCCGCAAACCTGGCTATTCTTTAATACTTAAAGTTTTAACAAAATAGGAAAACTTTTCATAACATAATGACTTTGTAAAAACGTCTGCTAGTTGTTCATTTGTACTAACATATTTTACGTTAATAATTCCATTATTTATTAAATCTACAACAAAATGAAATTTTACATCAATGTGTTTACATCGTTTGTTATTTTCAAAATGTTCAAGTAACTTTATAGTACTTTGATTATCTTCATACAATGAAATTGGTATAGAAATTGAAATATTCTCACTAAACTCTTATGGCCTCACTCCAAAAAACTTTCGACAAGTTTGCTTCCTTTATCATAGCTCTAGCCTTTTCTACCAAACTTCGATTAAAACGTTCTGCTTTTTTGTTCAGGCGTGTATGGATTTGTAAAGTCAATAAAAGTTCCATTTGTTCTGCAAAAATTTTTAATTTCTCCTGAAATATATTCTCTGCCATTATCACATCTAAGAACAGAAATTTTTGAACTAAATTTTGTTTGCACCATTTTCACATAATCAACAAAACAGTCAAACACTTCACTTTTTGCTTTAATAATATACACAATCACAAAATTAGAATAATCATCTATAAATGTAACAAAATACTTGCCATTATCATGACTTGTCCGAGTAATAGGACCAGCCACATCACTATGAACAATTTCAAGAACTCTTTTTGCTTTTGACCTTGTACCAAACTTCAATCTAGTCATCTTACCACTAACACAAGACTCACAAAAATCAACTTTTCCAATTTTAACATTTTCAATACCATTTACCATTTTATTTTTAATTAATTTTTCTAAATTCGAATAGCATATATGACCTAATCTTTTATGCCATATTTTAGTTACATCATTTTCTGTTTCTGTATTTAAACATTCTACATTTTGAACTCTAAAACTTATTTCGTACAAATTATTTCGATATCCTAAACCTATTAAAATTTTATTATTATAAAGACAAACCTGTCCATCTGCAAAGACTACTCTTATACCTGCCATTTCTAAACGTTTGACAGATAACAGGTTTCTCCTTAAACTCCGAACATAAAAAACATTTTTCACAGTACATTTTACCTATTACCTACACCTGTAGCTATCATAAAATTGTCATTCTTTGCCACTGCAATATTTATAGGATTTTTTAAATACATAAAATCGCTGAAAAAAGACTTGTCACTTATTAAATGATCTGTACACCCAGAATCAATATAAAACAAAAGTTTATCTGTACTTACAGTTTTATTCTTATTTGCTTGATTTGTCATAAAACATATATTTTGTCCACCTTGTACATCACTTTGCACTTCATTTTCTGCATATTGTCCATCAGGAAAATTTTGTCTGCCCTGTCCATTTCCTCTAAATCCACCTCTTGAACCTCTCATTACACCTCTTGGACCTAATCTCTGATTGTTGATAAAACCTCTATTGTAACTTCTAAAAGCACTTCCTTGATGACCACCTCTTTGGAAAACACCTCTATGCCCTCGATTTGACCTACAGTCCCTTTTGAAATGTCCACGTTTGCCACAAGTATAACATAAACCTTGATTGGGTATTGTATTGTTAAAAGCTGCTGGCTTTGCGTAACTATCGCTATTATCATTTACAGATTTTCTTCTCTCTACCTCAGCACGAAGTTTGCTTTTAACAAAATCTACTGTCAAATTATCTGCTGGTAAACTTTCTATTATATTTACTATTGTCTCTAGGTTTTTAGGCATAGCTAGTAATAATGTGCACACAATGTCTTGTTCCTTTAAATCTGCCCCGCTAGCCTCTAATTGACGTACCACTAGGTCAAATTCACTTAAAAATTCTTCTAATTTAAAGATATCGCTCAGTTTCATAGACATAAATTTTTTTCGTAACATCAACTGTCCTGGAATGCCCCCTTTTTCGTATCTTTCTTTCAACTCTTCCACATACCATAGGCTGTCTTGTCATCTCTTACGATTTCAATCTGGCTATCATGTAAACACTGTATTATTAAACTTTTACATTTATTGTCCTTTTTTCTTGCTTCTTCCCTCTTCTTATCATCATTATAATCATCTTCCTTAAATTCATTAATTATAAACTCATAAACATCCTTTTCTTCTAATAATACGTTCATCATGAATTTCCATGTATAATAATTTGACCCTGTTAACAATTCTACGTTGAAATTATTTTTGTTACTTTCCGCCATTTTTTTCTTTAAAGCCTTCTCTTCAAGATTCGATGCTATTTTTAAATTGTTTAGGATTTCCACAGTTTTTTTAGAGTTCTGGGCCCATAACCTGTTGGTTTTTATGGTTTATTTATTAAAGAAACAAATAACAATATATATATAATCATTAAACAAACTATCAACTAATCAGAACAAAAATAGAGTGGCTTGATGGTGGCTTGTTACATCCAGTGTTCCCAACTCTCAAAAATTTATCTCCCTAAAAATCTAAACACTCGCATCAAAAATCCCCAAAATATCCCTAAAAACCTAAAAAAATATCCCGAAAAAATCCTAAAATATAAATAATAATTAATAATAAATAAACAATTTGTTGTGTTTTAAGTGGTTGACCTTGAAACGTCTGATCACAGCAATGTAGCCAACTGTTCGAAACTTTCCATTAAAGCGATATCAAACCTTCTTAAATCCAAACAGTTAAAATCCCCACAACTGTTATCCAAGATTCGGTGATTTAAATAAATAAATTATTTTGTTTTATTGATACTTTCCTATTAATTTTGAAAAATAGCAGTAGCGGTCTTATCTCCTCTTTGGTAGCGGTAAAATACCATTGAAATTTTATCCCTAAAAATATCCCCAACAAATTTTACTCCCTAAAAATATCCCCATATAGATTTTTTCTCCCCAAATTTAGGGATAAAATCCCCGAGTTGGTAACACTGGTTACATCTTCTTGCTTAATATTACCACTGATTAATGATACAGAAAACAGTGTTGCCACGGTTAAAGACCAGACAGGTTTGTAGTTGTATATTGGGTTACATACATTAACATAGATAAATTAAATAAAAGTAAACTGTAATAAATTTAAATAAAGTCAATAAACCAATATCGATTTTGAAAATAGCTACTAACTGTCACTAGCAAATTTCCAATGCGATACCAGCCGTCTTGATTCCCGTTTTATTGAAAAATCGCCAGATAGGTATTATAGGAAACCCTAATATAGTTTAAAAGAGAATTTAAATCTGTTTCGACTTGTTTTAAAAAATACAGTGTCGTATTTGAAATACCTAAAGAAGTTTTTATGTAAAATAGTTAAAATAGGCCAGCAATTTCTGATACCCCTGTATACAGTTAAGGAAGCAATACATTTTTTTAGTAAAGTTTATAGATAACTAGCTGCGTTAAAACACTATCCAAAAATGGTTCAAAATGTAAAAAATATTTCTTTTACTAACAAACAAATATATTTCGATACTATCAAACATAATATGCCTAAAAATATTCCCCCATCATAGACACCTGTTGTAATATTCTTTCTTCCAAGCCTTCTGTGCATTGTAACAGGTGGAAACTCAACAGTTGGGCCCTTTTTATAAGCTTAAATTTAACTTTCAATGTTCCTATGTAAATGTAAGATGTTGGTTTCAAAATTTGCAAACCATTTTTCAACTCTACCTACTAAAATTATTCTTATGAAACTTGGCATACACATTTAATAGTTCTAGTGACAATAAGTAGGTAGTATTAGTATTTAAATCCAAAAAAGATATGTAGAAATCTATTACTACCTACTTAGATAAAAGAAAATATAAAAATTAAAAAAAATAAGAGTACTCTGGGAACAAGAAATGCATACACGCATTTGCAAAACAGTACTCTAATTAAATACTAATTTATACCTCGTTAGTAATGCCTTAATTACTTCATAATTAGTGAAAATAATTTCCATAAATGTTTGCATATATGGAAATATATTGCTTTGAACTATGACCGGATTTTTGTTAACAGCCATGAAAGTAATAATGTCTTTTATTTATATAAAATAAAATTTAAAAATAAAAATATGACATTCCAAGAATAGGTGGGTATTGTCTTCTCACAAAAATCATTTCATAATAATCAATCAATTTTATCTCATTAATCTAGATTAAGACAATCTTATTACTCAGATTTAGAAAATAAAATAGGAAAAAGTAATCCAAAAATCTATAATATGTATACGCAATTCAATACCTCAGACGTAAATACCGCTTCATCTCACAAAATTCATATCATTTTCAATCGATGTAACAGGATGACAAAAATTTCAAAACAATTTTGAAGTTTGCCCAATAAATAAATGACAAAATATGTATAATATTCTCAGAATGTATAGTAGACATGTAGGCATTTATAATTACTTATAACAAGCCATGATTCATCAACCTTTTTATTTAATAAATGTTGAGACCACCAGAGAAGGCTTTAATGATATAAATTATCTCATGACCCCCAGCATTGCACATTCTATTTTCTACAGGTTTTGATTTTATCTGGATATAGGGTTCCCAACTTGAGCATCGGCGATTCCGGGACAATTATGTTTAAGCTTTTAAATAATTGAGACAAAACATTAAATATTAGAAATTAAAATATATTATGTGTGTAGTACACACTTTTTTAGTTTCCAGGTCCCAGCCAAGACAAAACTTTCGCCGGGACAAACTTTCTGATTCCTGGTTAATCCCGGCCAAACCGGGACGGTTGGGAACCCTATCTGGATAGTATTCATTCAACCTTTTGTAGATATAAAAACGATAACCACTTCATTAGCAAAGTAGATTTTACAGGTGGATCTACATGGTTTTCGTATGACACAATCAAAGCTACCCAAATAGTCAACAAAATGTTAACAACAAAAACTAAAAAATAATTATCAAAATTCGTGAATCATGTATGTAGATTTTAATCTATAACTGATATTTCAGTGGAAATAACACATCCATACTAATTGATCAGATAAATAAGACACTATATGAATTCAAATCAAGCCTTACCATTTTACTAGACACCATTTTTATTAATAAAATAATACAAAATCCTCAAAAACCACCAGCTAAAGGCACAACTCGAAAACACAACACATTCAAAATAAACTATGACCGTTGAAAAGGAAGTTCGGTTTCTTGACAATTTCGCGTTTACCGCTGTTCAATCACAGACAAACGTCTTCACCGGTAGTCCACGGTGTGAAAAGAGACAAAAGCACTGATCGCGAGCCCGTAGCGGCGCATCGGCAACTAACTTCGAGAACCCGCAGCTGTGGCGGCAAATGCTCGTTTCCCAGCCAATGGAAGGCCGGTTTTCAAATTAGCGGTTGCCGTCAGAGTAGCGCAAGGTTGCGAAGCGCTCGAGAGCGAGGTTGCCAAAATTTTCGATTGCCTGGTGACTGGTTTTTTATTGCAGGTGAATAGTTATTTACATTTTAATGACCCGGTCTGGGTAAAATTAATTCTAGTTATGTAGTTATCTAATTATTAAGTAAGTAAGGTACGAGGTCGCATCGAATATTTTTTCTAAATAAAAATGTTATAATTAAATTACGGTATTATAGGTAAATTATGCAACTTTTAAACAATATAAAAAAATGCATGATATGCTTTAAAAACTCTAGATATTAATTTAGAAAAATAATTTTAAAGTATTTGAAAATATAAACAAAAAATGCACAGTAGACAACATTGCATTTCGAAATTTTCATTCAACCTGTTTCTGTTTTGAATGGATTTATTCTTGGTTGTAAAAATAGGCGATGATGCGATAAATTGGGATCATAAGTTATTTCTATAAGCTTATAAATGTAGTTCACTTAAACAAAATAGAATACTATTAAATTAACGATACTTAATTTATTTTTAGATTTTAAAAGATTTAGAAGTATTAAAAAAAATGATTTTCGAATAGAATAATTGCTTAAATTTTACTGTTTCTATTGTTTTCTTACCTACTTCAAAAATTACGATAAATAATATCTATCTATACCGGGTGCGTCTCAAAAGTGGCTCACCCCTATAACTTTTTTATTTTTTCAGTTTAAAAACGGGATTTGGTATGTTAGTATATGACATAAATTGGGATTGATTGACGTATTCAATTGTTTTGTTTCGCGGGAAGTGACCCTCGTTCCATTTGAAAAAATTGAAATATGATTAAAAATATGATTTGGGCATTTTCTAACAGGCAAGGACATGACACTAAAAACATTAGACGATCAAATCTATTTTTCCAAGACTCCTTGATTAAGTATTAGTGTTTTTAACACAGCCAAGGCACTCTAGATTGAATTTTAAAATACGATTTTTTATGAAGCGAGAATGTCAAAAGTTGCCATAATATGATGAATATTATAACAGAGTAGGAGTCCTGGAGCTGATTTCAGCAGGCAAAATTTCTTAAAATGCTAGCAGCCACATCTTCAATTATCATCGTATATTTTTAATAGCCCAATGCTCCCTTAGTTTCTGTCAAATTAATCTTATATTATAAAATAGTACAATTATCTACGGAAAACACTGCTTCTATGACGCCAGCGTCTGTAATAGATTATCTGATAACCTCCTTGATTGATGATTTAAAATGGTAAAATAGATATACCTATTGAATTTTCGGATCTACTCCAAGTTGCGAAATGATAACAAACAATTGTAATCATAGACATTACCATTAAAAATAACTTAAAATAGTTTTATGATATTGATAATCTCTCCCGACACAAAACTTGGTGTAATCTATTCACAGCAGAAATGAGATAAAGCTAAAATATATATTGTTTTTTTTTATAAAATGTATAGATACTGATTAAATTATTGGTAGTATGGATTTCAAAAAAAATATTTTATAAAAGGATTTAAGTATTCCTTATCACTAAACCTTACACAAGTAAGAATGGAACACCCTCAAAAAGAC